AGGGCTTGGAGTGCCTTGGATAGCTGAGCCAGTCAGGCCTGTAGGGAAGGGTGAGTCACAAGGTCTAAGTGAAGTTAATTGCTGCTAAGAGTTGTTCTTTTGCTAGGTAGTGAAGTTTAATATAAGTTATAAGCTAAGCTGAATATTGTTAAGTGTTTTTCCACTGTGAAATCATTAAGTCCTAGGTTATAAGTAAGGTTAAATACTGTCAAGTGCTGTTCTTTTGCTAAATGCTGAAGTCTAAGGCATCAATCAAGGCCTGTTAAGTCTGAGCTCAGTGTAGCTTTTCGGCTCCATTCCTTTTATCCTTGCCCATACTGTCCTTTAGGCACACACACAGGTGCACAAATTTCGATAGTTCTGGGTTAATTTCTGGTTTGATTGCCTGGATTTTGTTTGGTTTTGTTGTTGCTTTGTTTCCTTGGTGTGCCTGAAGTGCCCAGTCAGGAGCAGAGTGACTCTTGCCAAGGAACTTTGTGCTGCTGTTGGTTAATATTAAATCTGGTTTTTGCTGCTCCCTTGCTTGGAATTTTTCAGCGCTCTCAAGGCCTCATTGGTAGCAGGGTGAAGGAGCCCTGGCCCAGGCTCTGGCCTTGGGGGACATGGGGACGCTGCCGGGGGGTCCCTGTTCCCCTGTGCCACCCCCAGGGCCCCGGCCCCCCGTCCCCGTGTCAGGCTCTGGGGTCGATCTCATGGAACATCCTCTGGGGGAGGCTGCGGGGCCAGGGGCGGGGGGACCCGGGGGGACAGGGGACCCCACTGTGCACGAGCAGGGTTGGACTGCTCTGGGGGGAGCTGTGAGGGGGGCTGGGGCAGACTGACCTCCCCAGGGACCTCACACAGCCCCTGTGATGTCACACAGCCTCTGTGATGTCACACAGCCCCTGTGATGTCACACAGCCCCCGTGATGTCGCACAGCCCCTGTGATGTCGCACAGCCCCTGTGATGTCACACTGCCCCTGTGATGTCACACAGCTCCTGTGATGTCACACAGCTATCTGTGATGTCACACTGCCCCCGCTATGTCACACAGCCCCTGTGATGTCACACTGCCCCTGTGATGTCACACTGCCCTCGCTATGTCACACAGCCCCTGTGATGTCACACTGCCCCTGTGATGTCACGCGGCCATCTGTGATGTCACACCACCATCTGTGATGTCATACAGGCCCTGTGATGTCACACAGTCATCTCTGTGATGTCACACAGCCACCTGTGATATTACACTGCCATCTGTGATGTCACAGCCCATGCTGGGATGTCACGAATCCCCCTTGTGACGTCACAGAGCCAATGCTGGCATATCACTCTGTGATGTCATACAGCTGCCTCCTGGGATGTCTCAGAAGACACTGTGATGTCACAAATTCACCCAGTGATGTCACTGCATGTTCTCTGATGTCACAGACTGTTCTCTGATGTTACTCAGACACCCAGTGATAGCACAACTCACTCTCTGATGCCACAGAGCCACCCTCCATGATGGCAGAGTCTGCTCTATGGCATCACATCCTATCCTATCATGTCACAGCCACCTCTGTGATGTCACAATCCCCTCGGTGATGTCACACAACCCTCTCTGTGATGTCATACTGCCACTCTGTAATGTCCCTGCACATACTTTGACCTCACTCCCTGCTCTGTGTTGTCACGGAATCCCCTCTGTGATGCTGTAGCTGCTCAATGACCTCACTCAACAAACTCTGCGATGTCAGAGCCCAATCAATGACCTCACACAGCCCACTCTGTGCTGTCACACAGCCCCTTGCTGACATCCCAGCTGCTCTGTGCCTCTGTGACACAGCCACAGAGGTGCTGCTGTGACACAGCCCCCTCTGGGCCATCCCACAGCCCCTGCCAGTGCTGAGCCCTTGTGAGCTCTGTCTGTGCCCTGCTGGTGTCCCTGAGGGGCCCTGGCAGTGCCCCAGCCCTGCTGGGCTGTGCACAGGAGCTGCTCCTGGCCAGAGCTGTCTCTCTGCAGCGCTGCCCTTGCCAGGAGCTGCCTCTGGGCCAGGAGCCCGGCCCAGCTCAGCAGCACAGACACAGCACAGGGACTTGAATCACCCTCTGGGGCTTTGGTGCTCTTTGCATCAGACCCAGTCCCTCAGAGAGGGTTCAAAGAACTTCTCAAGAGCTCAAAGTGAGATTGAAACACTGAATTTGCTAGATTTAATGGGTCTCACTGAGGGACATGACTGAGAAAGTGTCCCCAGGTTCCAGTTAGAGCAGAACCCGGGAGGCAGTGATGACAGCTGGGGACAAACAAGGTAAAAGTGTCTCTGGTGCTGAGCAAAGCTGGATGTGTTTCAGGAATGCCAAGGGCCCAGGCCTGAGCCCCAGTCCCTGGCCAGGCAGATCCTGTCCCTCCCTCCTTGCTCAGGGCTCTTCCCGGGATGGGCACTGGCATGTAGGGATGTGCAATGGCAAGGGCAGGAGCATGGGGCGGCCCCTGCCAGGCTGCTGAGCAGGGACAAGGAGGCAATGAGGCCCCAGCCCTGCAAGGGTCACTTGTCTCCTGCTCCTGCCTCAGGCCCAGGGCCAGCAGCCATGGCCAAAGTGGTGCCCAAGTTGGCTCTGGCAGGGCTGTCTTGCAGCTGCTGCCCCTCCCTGTGCCCTGTGCAGCCCAGGCTGTCCCACGGTGTCCCTGCCCTGCGCCTCTGTCCCTGCAGGCTGTCGGCATCCCCCGGCTGCCCCACCTGGCTGGGCCCTTCCTTTGCTGACAGCTCTGCCTCCTGCCTGCCTCTGCCTGCCCACACAAAGCCTTGGGCTGCTCCAGGCTCCTGCTGGGGATGTGCTGCACCACAGCCCTGCCCTGGCAGGGAAATTCCTTTCTCCTGGTGCCAGTCTGGGCCCCCCCAGCTGCCCTTGGCATTAATTCTTTCTCTCTCTGGCTGTTTTCCACTATGGCAAAAGGATCCACCATCCCTGAAATCTCCCTTTAAACACTCTCATGGCTCTGCTCCACTGTCCTCAGTCTCCACCCCACTGAGCACAGAGCTCCTTTGTCCCTGCACAGTGCTCATGTGCCCAGGGCCTCCAAACCCCACCTTGGGACACCCAGAGGGGAATGGCCTTGCAGCAGAAAGTGCCCAGAGAGCCCAGAGCCAAAGAGCCTCTCCCCTGCAGGCACTGCTGCTCCGGTGCATTGAAACATTTCCAGTGCTGGAGTGGGCTGACGGCTGTTCCTCATCCCACCCAAAAGAAGCTGATGGTTGGATATTACTGGAGAATTTCTCTCAAGTTGAGCCTGGCAGGGGGTTCTTGACAGGGAGAAGCTGCTACAAGAAATACCCTGATGCCTCCCCCAGGCTCTGTGTGTTTCAACGCTCTTGGCCTTTCCTGATGCTTCTCAAATGAAAAGAAATTCCTGGGGCAGCAGCAGCAGGATTTGCCTCTCACCATAAAATACTGTTACATCAGCTGGTTTTCCAGTCCATCCAGCTCTTACAGTGGCTATCCTGGCATGTGTCCAAACCCTAAAGATGTTCATATCCCCAAAGGGTGACACAGGGTTTTTCCTGTTGTTCAGACCTGGAAGACTTTGAGGCTTACAAATAGAAGGGGGAGTAATTGCAAGGTGCTGTACTGTATTTATAGTGGTCTTTTAATAAGCAATAAAATTACAGATGGACCATGATAGGAAAATAACTTGCTGCAGGAAAAATTCCTCAGGATACCTGGTTATTCTCAAGATCTATTGCTGCCATTGAGTAGGGAATGACGGACAACAAGCCATGTCTGAATAACAACAGATTAATGTTGTGCTCTCTTCCTGAGTCTGCTCCCAAAAGATCGGGGATTGACAAAGATAAAGGAATTTTAAGAGCTGGTTTTGGTTATTTCAGAGAAAGTCTAAAAGGGAGAAGGGATTGAGGTGATGAAGAGGCTGTCATTACCTATCCTTTTCAGTGCTGTCTATTGGAGCAAAAGTGAGCAATGTGCCCTGCTGGTGTTTAGATGTTCTGAGTCCCTCAGCTGTGAGTTGGTTGCCGTGCTGTCCTGCCTGGTGCTTGCTGGATGTGCTGGCACAAAGAGCTTGGGCCCTTGATGAAAATGACCACAAATGAGTTCCTTGGGATTTACTGGGCTCAGAGTAAAAGGGATCAAATTCAGGTTTGATCTACAAAATGCTTCTTCCCTTTCAGGGTGGTGAAGTCCTGGCTGCACAGCTTGCTCAGAGAACCAGAGTAAATTAAGTTTCAGAATTCTTCCTTTCTGTCCCATTCCTATTCCATAAGTTCAGGTTTGGTTTTCAGAGTGCCACCTTCTCAGCTGGTTGCCATTTGTGTCCTGCCTTCTTTCCTGCCTTCCTTGGTCTGCTCCTTTTCCCTTCCACAGGGTCTGTCTTTACCTGTGGCAGCTCCCAGACAAAGACCCTCCCCTGATTTTATTTTTTCCTTCCCCATCCAGGTGCTCAAACAGCCCTGGATGAAGTTTTGGAGGCTGGCAGTGAAATGTCTGTGGAAGATCTTGCTGCACTTGTGTCTTGGCCCCTTCAGAATTTGGCCTTGAAGGGCAGGACCGTCTTTTCCTTGCTGGCAGCTGGAATTGCAGCCCATGGCAGTGAGTGCCAGAGATGTCAGAGGGCGATTGCTGAGGCTGCCAGGGTGCTGCTCCTGCCGTGCCTGCCAGGGGAGCTGTGCAGGGCAGGGTCAGGCTGCAGCAGCTGGCTGGGCTCCCCAAGCAGACAGCAAAGGCGGCTTTGCTGCACATTCTGCAGCTGGGAGCAGAGGGAAGAAGGGCAGGGAGTCCCTGACAGAATCCTGGAATGCCTGTGCCTGGAAGGAACCTGCCCGTGGTTCCATCCAGGCTCAAGGCGCCATGAGGGAGAGGGGCCTCTGCCCCAGTGAAGGCACCAATGAGACCACAGGAGAACAAAACCAGATTGTTTTGTTCACGGATTCTATTGAACAAGAAACGGGAGCTCGGGAGATCGAAGTGCGAACGAGGTCCTGGAGAGAGAGAGCTCAGGAGACGGTCAGTTGGAAGCAGGCGCTGTTTAAGGTCCGCTCCTGCATTCTGGGATTCCAGAAGACTTGACGCCATTTTTGGGCTCCAGTCCCCCTTCACTGCTGCTGGCGTTTCCCGGCTGGGTTTGGGGCGCGCTGTCGGGGCGCCAGTAGGAGCTGTGCAGCTGCAGGAAGAGCTCCCGGCAGCGCACGCGCCCCCCCAGGTGGGCGCAGGCCATGAAGACGCCGCCCAGCTTGCGGTGCAGGGCGTAGCTGGGCTCGGGGGGCGGCCCCAGGCGGCCCCGCAGCATCTGGGGCAGCAGCCCCCGCACCCCCCGCGCCGTGCCCTGAGCCCCGAAATCGAACGGCTGGGAACCCCAAAAAGGCTCCCCCAGCAGCAGAACGGCCTGGAGGTGCAGGGACTCCATGGCCTGGGGAAGAAACAAAATGTGGGTCAGGAGGGACGGGAAAATTCGGGGGGAAGAGATAAAAAATTGGGGGCCAAAACCCCAAAATTCGGGGTGAGAGAGACCAAAACTGGGGTGAGGAAACCCTAAATTGGGGGATAGCCCAAAATTAGGGTGAGGAACCCAAACATTTGGGATGAGGAACTCCAAAACTGAGGAACAAAACCCCAAAATTGGGGGGTGAGAGAGCCCAAGATTTGGGGTGAAAAGGAAATGCAAAATCTGGGGGAAGGAACCCCAAAATTGGGGGGGTGCAAAACCCCAAAACTGGGACAAGAGAAATCCCAAAATTGGGGCAAGAGAGTCTAAAATCGGGAGGGCAAAACCCCAAAATTAGGGGGGTGAGGAAACCAAAAATTGGAGGGGGAGGACCCTCAAAATCAGAGGGGAAACCCCAAAATTAGGGTGTTGGGGCTGTGAATATTTGGGGGTGAAGAACCCCAAAACTGGGGGGCAAAACCCCAAAATTTGAGGTGACAGAGACCAAAATTGGGGTGGGGAACCCCTAAATTGGGGGAAACCCCAAAATTAGGATAAGAGAAATCCTAAAATTGGGATGAGAATGCCCAAAACTGGGGTGAGGAAGGACCTGAAATTGGGAGATCCCAAAATTGGGGCAGAAGCCTGAAACTGAGGTGAGAAAGCCCAAAATTGGAGTGAAAAACCCCAAACTGGAGGGGAAACCCCAAAACTGGGGTGACAAGACCAAAATTGGGATGACGAACTCCCAAATTGGGGAACCTCAAAATTCGGGGTGAAAGGGACTCAAATTGAGGTCAGAGAGAACCAAAAAATGGAAAGACCCCAAAACTGGGGGTGAGGAGAGAACTCCAATATTAAGGAAGGAAAAAGCACCAAAACTGGGGGTTTTTGATCCCAAAATTGGGTGAAAGTGGTCTAAAATTGGGTTTTTGGCTGCAAAATTGGGCAAAAGTGGCCTCAAAACTGTTTTTTATTTTTTCCCCAAATTCAGTGAGTTTGCCCCAAAATTAGGGTGAAAAGAGCCCAAAATCAGTTTTTTTCCCCAAAATTGGGGTAGTAGTGGCCTCAAAATTGGGGGTTTTTGCCCCAGAATTGGGGAAGGGAAAAGGCTGAAATTTGGGGGTTTTGACTCCAAAATTGGGGTGAAAGAGGCTTAAAATTGGGGGTTTTGTCCCCAAATTCAGAAGGTTTTGTCCCAAAGCTGTTTTTATTTGCCCCAAAATGGAGGAAGGAGAAAGGACCTAAATTGGGAGAAATGGGCCCAAAATTGGGGTGAAAGGGGCTCCAAAATTGAAGGGTTTTGCCCCAAAATTAGGGTGATAATTGAAGTTTTGGTCCCAAAACTGGGGGTTTTGGCCCCAAAATTTTGGGTTTTTTGCCCGTTCTCACCGGGGACTCGAAGCCCGTCAGGAATTTCAGCTCCCGGGATTTGCTCAGGATTTTCTCCTCGTCCCTGTCAGCCGCAGCCCGAATCACCTGGAACCCCAAAATTCTGATTTTTTACCCAAATTTCTGGGTTTTACACAATTTCCAGATTTTATTTCTGGGTTCTTTCCATCAAAATCCCCTCAAAATCCTCATAAAATCCCCCAAAATTCTCCAAAATCCTTGAAAATCCCCCCAAATTCCCCATTTTTCCCAGTTTTCCCCCCATTATTTCCCCTTTTTTTCCCATTTTGCACCTTTTTTTCCCATTTTACCCACACTTTTCCCCATTTTTCACATTTTTCCCTTTTTTCCCCAATTTTTTAAACTTTTTACTGTTTTTCCTGTTTTATCCCATTTTTGTACTTTTTTCCCATTTTCCATATTTTTCTCCTGTTTTTTTCCTGTATTTTTCTATTATTTTTTCCCATTTTCCCCTTTTTTCCCCCATTTTTCTCCTGTTTTTTTCCTGTATTTTTCTATTATTTTTTCCCATTTTCCCCTTTTTTCCCCCATTTTTCTCCCATTTTCCCCATTTTTTCCCAATTTTTCTCAAATTTTGCCAATTTCTTCCCATTTCTCCCCATTTTATTCCATTTTCCCGTTTTCCCCACTTTCCCCCATTTTCCCCTTTCTTCTCATTTTTCCTGTTTTTTCCCATTCTTTTCCCATTTCCCCCCCCTTTTCCCCTCTTTTTCCAATATTTTCCCATTTTTCTCCCATTTTCCCCATTTTTTGCTTCCTTTCTATTTCTTCCTGCGTTTTGTCCAATTTTTCCTCATTTTTTCCCATTCTTTTCCAATTTTTCGCATTTTCCCTTAATTTTTGCCCCATTTTTCCCATTTTTTTCATTTTCCCCCCATTTTTTCCCATTTCCCCCATTTTTTAAATATTTTTTTTCCCATTTTCCCATTTTCTTCCCCTTTTCTCCCCAAATTTTCCCACTTTTTAATTTTTTTCTTTTTCCCCCATATTTTCTCTTTTCTTATTTTTCCCATTTTTCCCTCTTTTTGCCCATTTTTCCCCACCTCGATGTAGAGATCGGTGAATTCCTTCTCGAAGCTCCGGCACGCCCCGAAATCCAACAGCGTCACCTGGGGGACAAAACCACCAAATATCCAAATAAATCCTCAAAAATTCCCTAATTTGGGGGATGGGGAGGTGGTTGGGCTCTCCTAAAAAAATCCCCCAAAAATTTGTCCCAACTCCTAAAAAAATCCTAAAAAATAAAAAAAAAATACTGAAAAAAATTCCAAAAATGCCTAAAAATTCCCCAAAATAAAAAAGAATCCTCAAAAAAATCCTGAAAAAAATCCGAAAAACATTCTCAAAAAGTCCTCAAAAAATTCCCAAAAAATCCCCCAAAAATATCCCAAAAAGTCCTGAACACCCCCCCCCCCAAATCCTCAAAAAATACAAAAAAAATACTCAAAAAAACCCCTCCAAAAATACTGAAAAATATCCCCAAAAATCCTTGGAAAAAATCCTCAAAATATCCCAGAAAATTCTTTAAAAAAACCCGCAAAATCATGAAAAAATCCTCAAAAAAATCACAAGAAAATCCTCCAAAATCCTCAAAAAAAATACCCAAAAAATCCTGGGAAATTTGTCAAAAAAAAAAAAATAAATCCCCAAACAATCCCCCAAAAGTCCTGAAAAAAATAACAAAAAAAAAATATCTTGAAAAAAAACCCAAAAAATCCTGGAAAAAAGTCCCCAAAAAATCCTGAAAAATTGTCTAAAAAAATCTCCACAAAATTCTCAAGAAATTCCAAAAAATTCCTGGAAAAATCAAAAAAAATCCTGAAAAAATCCCAAAAAAATCCTCCAAAATGCCCAAAAGTCCTCAAAAAATCCCTAGAATTTTTTCAAAACATCCCCAAAAATCCTGAAGAAAAATCCCAGAAAATCTTGAAAAAATAAAAAAATACCCAAAGAACCCTAAAAAAACACAAAAAAACACACACACAAAAAAAAAGTCCTCAAAAAATCCTGGGAAAAAAATCCCCAAAAATCCTTAAAGCTATGCCCCAAAAATCCTGAAAAATCTTCAAAAATCCTGGGGAAAAAAATTCCAAAAAATCCTCAAAAATCCCAAAAAATTCCCCAAAAACCCTGGAAAAAAATCCCTAAAAAATCCCCTTAAGATCCCATTTAATTCCTCTAAAATCCCCTAAAACCTCCCCAAATCCCCCTAAAATCCCACAAAATTCCCGAAATTGGCCAAAATTCCGATTTTTTTGCTCACTTTGTGCCTCTCGGGGTCGTAGAGGAAATTGGCCCAGTTGGGGTCGGTTTGCATGAAGCGGAACTGGAAAAGCTCCTGGAGGCAGAGCCGGAGCAGCTCCGTGCAGATCTGGGCGGGAAAGGGTTAAATTTGGGTGGGAAAGGGTTAAATTTGGGAGCGGGGGCATTAAAAGCCCAAAAAAAAACCTGAAAAAAAATCCCAAAACTATGAAAATTCTGTTTAAAAAAACACAAAAAAAATGCAGTAGAAATGCCACAAAATCTCCCAAAATTTCTCAAAAGTTCCTATAAAACCTTCACAAAATCTCCCCCCAAAAATCCCCCTCAAAATAAAAAAAAATCCCCAAAAATTCCCATAAAACCTCCACAAAATCCCCCCAAACAAACCCCCAAAACCCCCAAATCCCTCCAAAACTTCCCCCAAAATCCCCCCTAAAAATCCCCAATCTCCCCAAATCCCAAATTCTCCCAAATCCCCCCAAAAATCCCCAAATTCTCCACATGCCCACCCAAAAAACCCTAAAAATCCCCAAAAATCCCCCCAAATTCTCCATAAAAATGCTCCCCAAAATGCCTCCAATTCCCTCCAAATTCTCCCAATTCCCAAAATGTCCCTAACAACCCCAAAATCCCCCCTAAAAACCCCAAAATTTCCCAATCCCCCAAAAATTCCCCCAGAAATCCCAGATCCCCACAAATCCCCTAAAATCCCCAAAATCCCCTGAAAAAAAATCCCTAAATCCCCCAAAATCCCCCCAAAAACCCCAATATCCCTAAAACCC